CCTAAAAAATTATAAAATTTTGTATAATCACTTGTAAAATCAGCACAGAAAGAATTTCATGGTTTAAAGCACAAAACCCGAAAATGGAAAGGCTCCACCCACTTCTTATAATACTCGGCCGAGTAGTCAGAATAAGAAGCGTGAAAATTATCACAATGTTAATGCACGTACCTACCTCATTGTAAAAAACAAATCCACGAAAATGTCGAAATTTCCATATCAGTCGTTAATTGTAATGCACCGATTTATTATCTTGACCCAAAGTAACTGCATCTTCTCTCTTTTTTAGAAATCTGAAAATGACTCTTAAGGGAACGAGATCTACAATGTTTACGAAAGATTTGACAAAATATCAATACAAACTTTATGTGCCAAGCTTAGTTCTGAGACGTTTAAAAGACGAGCTCCACTATTTTAATCAGTTGGATAGAAAAAATAATGTAGTAGCCATGTTTAAACAGAATTTAGAGCATATACAGTCCGGTCTGATCTCGTTAATAACTCTCCGAATCTTTGTTCCCTTCTGGTTAGTCGTTGCTGGTTTACAAGCATAGTCAGCTGGCATGATTTGCTCTCTTGCCTTGGGACGTTTCAGTCAACAAGATTTATTTATAGTTATATTATTTTTTAAGGCTCTATATGGCTTGTAACCACACCAAGGCTGCAAACCGGTTTTCGAACCGAGAACCCTCTGTTTACTGGCCTGTAACCGAACCACAAACCAATCAGCTTTTATTTTAAAATGCGAAAACCGACCCGGAAACGGCTCAAAAAAATGGTTCGGTTCGATTCTAAATTAATTAACCCTTAATAACTTTGAGTTTCAATTTTGATACCAATCTTTTAAACTGAATGTTCACATTACTATTAGTTTTTTTTATAGGTTGCCTGTACGTATTTTACTGCACTAATATTATACTTTCCAACGAAATTAAAAAAAAAATCAAATGTCATTATTGTTTTATTTTATCTATGACATATTACTCGCGTGGCAAAGTGAACAAGTAGACACACCCGGACAGGTGTACAAGTACTACCCTCTACTGACGTGCGTTGCGATTGTATTGGTCATGAAAAAATATTTATGGATTCTAGAAATATGTGTAAATTTAATAAGTGTAGGAAACTTACCTCATGCATAGGCATTTCTGATTTCTTTATGGTGTTAATGCCTGAAGTATCAAAATTGATACCAGTTTTTTTTTATTAATAAATATGTAAAATAAATATTGTGATTTTTTTTAGCTATCTTTCCCTTCATCTAGAACCTCAAGCAAACACAGTAATATTAAAAATAAATCACTTTCGTAAATCAGGCTACTAAGGGTTAAGTTAAATAATATACGACGTGCTTAAAAATGCAACCCTTATGATATGCTGCCACAAATTCGTTTGAATGCAAATCCATGAGATTCCTTCATTGACAGTCTGCATTTTGTCATGCTATAAATTGTTATACATTAAATGTTCAAAGTATTGCCCATCGGAAGCTACGATGTTTGCCCATCTTTCTGGCAGTTTGTGGATCCCATCCCAAAAGAATTTCTCCGGCTTGGAGGTCAAGAAAGAATCGAGCCAATTTCTGATACCCTGTTCTAAAGTGAAGCGTACTCAGGAGAGGGCATTCTGCACTGATCTGAACAAGTGGTATTCGGAAGGTGCTATGTCTGGGCTATAAGGCGGGTGAGGTAGAACAGTTTTCCAAATAGTTTTTAACTGGCCTGGAACATGTGGCCGAGCGTTGTCATGATGAAAAATTATTGATTCGTGTCTGGTCGCATATTCTGGTCGTTTTTCCGCGATGGCCTTTTTCAAACGAATCAATTGTTTTCGGTAGAAGTCCCCATTGATCGTCTGACCCGATTTCAATAGCTCATAATAGAGCACACCCTTGTGGTCCCACCAAATACATAGCATAACCTTGGCACCATGGATATTCGGCTTTGCCGTGGATGTCGATTGTTGGCCGGGCTTCACATACGATCTCTTGCGCTTTGGGTTATCATAATGAATCCATTTTTCATCGCCAGTGACAATCCGATGCAAAAATTACTTCTTTTGGTGGCGTTGAAGCAACATTTCCGACATGCAGAATCGACGTTCGACGTCTCTTAATGAAGAAGAACTCCCCGCAAAAACACTTTATCTGGTACAAATTTCGACATTTTCAAATGAATGAAACAAATTGTTGTTCACGCTAAAACAAATGACATCTACTGAAAACGACGCGAAATGACAGTACCTTTAAAATGAATGTGCCACAGATGAACAGGACAAGAAATAATACTAGTAGAGCCCTCTTTTAGAAAACCGCACGAATTAATGCATACACCTAATATATGTATATTATAGTAACTATTGGCATCTTCCATACTAGGTGTGGTATATGTGAACAGTGTAATCAACGCTGAAAAGTCAAAGAATACAGAACAGAAAAGTAAAACGCATGTGTTGTCTATGTCGACTCGTTGGACAGCTATCCCTCTAGGAAATTCTATATCTTTAAAACAAAACACCCAATATGCCATTATTTTTTGTAAGATGATAAAATAACGATAAAGTGATACGTTTATTATAATTCATCTTAAATATATCGCTATATAGATATTAAATATATCGTTATATAATTTTTGCATGCCAATATGCTTTCATTGTTACAATAAAAGCCACTGCGTTCTTAGATTTAATTTCATCGAAGTTCACACTAGTAAACTGCGCTTAGTTCGTCTTGGGCTTAGTGCGCTGAGCCAACATTTTGGAAATATTCTTATAGGGTACTTCGAAAAATAATGTTGTACTAAATATAAAAAATTGCATATCACAAGCTGATGACCATGTCCAAACCACGCACATATCATCGTGGTTAAAGAAATTTTGTATGAAGAGTGCACTGCGCCACCAATATAACTCGCAATTGGCGTAAGTAAGAGGGCTAATGTGGAAAACCGCGATATCGTCTACCAGAAGCGAGCCAGCATCGGCAAAGCAGATGACAAGGAAGTACAAAGGACCCAATCTGTTTGAAGTAGAGGCGAAAAACGAAACATAAGCAAATGAAAATGTTTCTATCTAACTTCATATATTGAAGATTTGTAGGCATTGCCAACTTTCCGTACTTGCCTAATCAAACGATGCATAGTGTACATAAGTAACGTTTTCCCATTCTTTATAACATTACTTTTCCGCATGGTTTTAATAGCTTTGGTGTTTCGAAAGAAGTGGTATGTTTGCAGGAAGCCACTGTAAAAAAATTATAAAATTTTGTGTAATCACTTGTAAAATCAGCACAGAAAGAATTTCATGGTTTAAAGCACAAAACCCGAAAATGGAAAGGCTCCACCCACTTCTTATAATACTCGGCCGAGTGATCAGAATAAACGTGAAAGTATCACAATGTTAATGCACGTACCTACCTCATTGTAAAAAACAAATCCACGAAAATGTCGAAATTTCCAATATCAATCATTAATTTGTAATGCACTGATTTATTACTTGATTCCAAGTAACTGCAGCACTGTAGATGGAATAACATCACGACCATTGCACCATAAAACCGTAAACCATTCACCGCCGGAAAAGCGTTTGTGTCAGCTAGAGCAGCAGACGGGTCCGAGGGGAAAAGTAATTCCCAATTGTTCTGAACATCAAAACATTCAATAAATCTATTATAAGAAAATTTCGTACTAGTTTGACTCATCGTTTTTAAATCATCGTTCGTTGACTTCGTTCCATTTGCAACCACCTCAACCGTTTCGCTATTACGCTTTATACGTTGCCCCAAAGCTAGAAATGTCAGCAGCAATGTCAGTAAACAGAAACCGATAAAAATCATCGTCGAAGGCCTTGTAAAAAAGCCTGCACGTAATTTTAAATCCTTCACACTTTCAACACGCATTCGCATATCATAAATATCATTCGACACAAATAGATCATCCTTCACGTAGGTGTCCATTAGTTGACCGATCTCGGCTATTGTACAAGCGCTTGGCAAACATAGACCAATACTTATTCGCGGTTCATAGAACAGATATACTGGATCCATTTGAGGCTCTTTAAAACCGGACGAATCATACACTATGAGGAATTTAGAAGAATTGAAAAGAGTTAGCTCGTTAATATACATTATACGTGTACAACTGGGTGCATATATGAGCGGTAATGTTTCGGTTCTACAATTTCTTTTAAGAGTTTGTTGATCAATTGTAAGTGTAATTATTGAATGGTGGTAGCTTGAACTATTTGCCAATTATTTGGTTTGCGGAAAATATTAAAAAGGAGTTGGATTAGGTTATATGGATGATCTTAAGATGGGATCGCATTCGGACTGATTATCATCTGCCAGGCTCAGCTATGTAAGCAATCAGCTTTGCAGTTGCCTGCGCTCCCGCTGGTACCCAAATCAGCCGTATACAAAAATAACCCGATGACGTTAATAGTGAGGTTAGGCATTCTTTAACCAGCCTCCAGGGTACTGTCATTGAGTTCAAAGCTTGTATTGCCGCTCTAATATTGGAGTGTGCTGTCACTTCCCTTAGTAGAAGATCACCTGTTGTAGAACATCATTTACTACTTCTGATGACAGAGAAAACACCGCCGAGTTATGATTGGGCGACTCTATGATCCAAACAGGCCGGTATAAAATGAAAATGTGCGAGAATGCCCAAATGTTCAGGCACATGCTCATTTAGAAAGCAAGTTTGTCTAAGTCTAATAGCAACTTTCGGGACCATACACCTGCCAGTTATGTTCACTGGTCACATTTGTAAAATGTGCACCACACTTGCTGAAGTGCGTAGCCCATTGAACGTTCTCAAGTTACTTAGCACGCGTAGCCTTTTCTAAAGCTTTTCAACACATAAATACAGTCAGAAAGGTATTCGTAGAAGGGATTCTTTACTTAGGGGTTGTATCAAAATTGTGAAAGATTTTTATTATAAAAATCTGTGTTTATTTCAAACATTTTTTTAATTATAAATGAATGGGGAGCATTTTTAGAAAAGCTTTACTTAATTCTCCCTTCCTATATTGTGTCTATTTCACAAAAATAATATTGGTAAAGATATTATAAAAGATATACGTTATTATATTAATTCGATTTGATAACTGATATAAGGCTAATTTTTATTCTTGTTACAGAAATATTCACCAAAGTAAATATTTAAGCATGAATTGTTGCTTTAATGGAGGGATAAAACAGTAAAAATAAGTACATATATATTGCATAAAATTAAAAAAATCTTGAGTCAAATATTTTTCTCTCTTATCTTTCGTTCCCGTTCTTACTATCCTACATTTTCTGCTTTGGAGCAGATGCATTTCATAACTAATTATTGATTTTATAATTCAAGTATAGAAAGATAAAGCACTACACACATTTTCAGAGGGATAATAATAAGTCTTACAAAACCTCCGATTATCTGACTTTTCCTACTTTTTCGTTTTTTCTAATATTTTTTCAGATATTTAAAAAAATTTATTTTATGAGCTTTATTTGCTGTAAAATATTTACAAATACATAGGTTAGTTTCCTACCAAACTTAAACTTTTTTTATTTTTAATTTTTTATTTTAATTTATATTGCCATTTTATTAACATAATTATTATTTTTTCATTTGTTTATTTGACTTTTTATTTAAATTTTGTCTTAATTTCTTTTTTTTTTTATCTAATAATTTTTTTTTTATTTTGATCTAATAATTTTTTTAATTCTAATTTATATTTATGTTTTAATTATTATATATAGTTTATTTTATTTATTATTTTATTTTTTAATTTTCTTTAAAATGCTGTGTTATTATTATTTTTTAGTTTAACCTTTTTTTAATTTAAAATTTTCATGTCTTTTTTAATTATTTTAAACGCCCAGTATCCTTAACATCCTCCAAAAATGCCAAGTTCTTATTTCGCTTTCCGTTTAAAGAGTTTAAAATGAATGCCCCTTAACACCGCATGCGAACTGTCAATGGAAATTCTAATGTGCTTATATTTATTAAAATAAAGTGCAATATATAAACTATTAGCACATATGCAATTAATTATGCGCGACATAGTTAACTCAAACAATTCGCAAATTGTGCGTTGCTTTCATTTGCACAGCGCTTGAGCTGCGAGGTATATTACCGTTTAATTTGTTTACTTCTAAAAACAAATACATATATTTTCAGAATATGACTGAATAATGACAACCGTACATAGAGCTTTCATTGCTTTGTTATAAAATAAATACTTTCCTGCCGAAGCGAAGCAAACTTAGGATATGTAAGAAGTGTTTGTTTGGCGGGCTTTTCTCTAGTATTTAATATTTCGTGTTTTCTTATTATCATATTTCGTTTTCATCTTAACAGTTTCGGTAAGCTTAAGCTACATAAAATATGTATGTGCATATTTCAAAAATGTGTTTCAATCCATGGTTAACATATTGTACATATGCAACGTTCACCAACATGTTGAACCAATCAAATTTGTCATATCTATAGTGGTACGAATTTGAAAGAAAATCTTTGGTTATATTACTGTCATTTATTTTTGATAGATTTAAACACAACTATGTACATGAACCTTACCAAATTTGAATAGGATGTATTCTTTGAATTTATTCACTTTAAAATTATTGAAGCAAAATCTTGAGATTTGACTACGCTCTGCAAAGCAATCGACAACCCAAAGCGTTTTTAAACTTTCATTTTTGGAAAATCTTAAGAAATGTAAGAGAAAAACTTGAGGGGCAAAAGAATTTTTGTAACATACTGATACAAAAGCAGTGACATTAATATCCTATTATTTCTAAAAAATTTTATTATGTTAGTTTACTCCATATTCAGTTTAGCAAAATTTGCGAGATTTTGATATTTACATTTCTTCAAAACATTCATATCACGCACACGAATGTTGTCCATATCTTCGCTAACAACAACCGATTGTACACTTCATCCTCGCTTCGAATTTTTAAAGCAATTTTTGCTAAATTTAACGGCCTACCACTTTACAAAAGCACTTGATTTTATAAAAAAAAAAATTTTTAATCGATTTTCAAGTTCGCTTTTGTGTAAAATTAAAACATGATTTTAAATTGAAATATTTTTAAAGACTAAAATAAATGATGGTGACTCTTCGCTTTGCTTTGCTGCGCCTCGAAAACTTTTTTTTTGGAACGAGCTTACGAGGCTGAATAAACACTAAATGTGTATTAATAACACTTTAGTTCCCATTATGCCATGTATATAGTTTGCCACGAAATTTCGAATATTCAATCGTCGGACACTCTAAAAAATATAAATTTAATATATTAATAATTAGATTTATAAGGTTAGCCGAAAGGAGAAAAGTGAAGAATATACTCGGCAATGACTGATATTTTATCTTCTGATTTCAGTACAGATTTTAAAAAAAGGAGTAATCTGCTTCACTCAGCGAATACCTATGAGCATTGTATAGGATCATGATATTTAAAATATTGAAGAGAGAAATTATTCTATTATGGTATATAAGGGATATTAAAATTAATGAACAGCAAGTAAATAAGGACAGTTAAAGAACGGTTAGAATATAATGACTCTATTCCTATTTTAAGAAGAAGTTAATAATAAAGTTAATCAACTAGTACTCTGCCACTTCATTGGCTATTCAACC